TTCTCATAAATCCCTCCTGAGAGCTGAGATCCTCACCTACTGTCACCATCTGGACCCTGCGTAGTGTTGTTTGACTACACGTAATGTTCCTTTCAGATCTAACATGCTGCAAAATACACACACGAGATACAGAAGATAAGCAAAGAAAAAATTAACTGACTTTTTTTGTTATGTCTTCCAAAGAATAAAGCGGAGTCTGGGGATTCTTGTCAGTTATAAATAAAGACCAAAATATAGAGAAATTAGCTTGAACCTTTTTTCTCCACTATTACATTTCCAAATCACTAAACATCTACAATTTACATTCAAATATCATGTCTCCTCATATTTTAATATGTTCATTAACGGCAACTCTGTGCATACAACCAATGCCATTTGTAACATACATGTAGCCGAATATTATCTCCAAAGATCTATTAAGGTAATGCCAGTCATAATGACTAGCCATGTTCATCATTCCTGCCATTCTATCAATCAGTGAAAACAAGAAATGTCTACAACATTTGAAAACGTTCGAATCTTAAAAGGCTTAAAGACATAAATAGCAATTCTGGTAAGAAGTTCAGGTGCCAGATCTGCCACCTTGCAAGTTACATATACATGAGCACTTGTACCCCATATACAGTACATGCATGTAATGAGATCTTCCTTCACCTCAGTATTTTTTAGTCTTTTATCTACATATATCCAAACCAATGAGTGGACCTTATTCCATTTGTAAGATGTGTAGACATCCTATTTGTCGTTCAGACCCCCAGAAAGCCATCAAATGTTTTTGGTATCTAACATTTGTTAGTCCTAACATGAATAAACTGCTACACGCTACCGTTAAATACTGGAGAATAAATACATTACATGTATAAAACTAAAAGAGATATATCACTAAATGAGATGTGCACATCTAAAAATACCAAATCAAAAAGTCAACATAAACATAAGCAGACATTGATCTAGATTGGAATAAACTAGCGGTGTATATAAACTTTCTATTACAGAATATCTTATGTAATAGCTATATTCTGACTTTGCAGGCTTTTCATCTACACACTAAAAGGTGGGGGATACATTAAAGTACATTTATATGAAGACATCTCGGTGACCTTACTGTTTTTCTGTGGGAGGGACCAACACATACAGGACTGAAGGCTTTCTTTCCTTATCTGAAAACTAATTTCTGGCTTGCAGTGTAATATGGTTAAGTGTTATATGGACTTCTAGCTAGCAGTCAGTGTTAATTTTTCTTCCAGTAAGACGCATAAGAATATATAAATGCGCAAACACACAGTCATGTGCACACACAAACACACATTGTAATATATGTGTGCCTGTATATATGCACTAAAACCAGGCGCACATGTACATGCATATTAGACACACATACATCTACAGAGACAAAGAGGTATTCAAAGCAGTGATTCTCCCTGAAACAAGCACGTAAAGCAGCTTTCATTCTGTGATTGTCAAAAACTTTACAATTTGCCCACTGCAATGCGGATGCCAACCAACGAATCAAAGGCATTCAGAAGCTAGACAAAGAGGGGCTGATGCCAACCTCGGTGCCAGTGGCAACCATTATTGGCATCATGCAGATTCTCTGTCTTTTTTTGTACTCTTGGCACTTGACAAACAAAATGGCGGATCTTGCTGAAACAGTCCACAGCAGAAGGAGAAAAAAGAAAAAAAAGCAGGGAAAAAATATATGAAGAGAAAACTGGGGGAAAAAACAACATAAAAAAGAAATCCTAGAATTGAACTGCCTGCTTCTTCAAGTGATTAGATACTGAAATGTAGATAGATACAATGCTAAACAATTTTTTAATGGTTGCTAATTGTATGCATGCAAAAAAAGCTGTCAGGAGTTTATATCAGTAGAAAGTTTCTTGACTTGTCTCTGAGCACACACTGCCATTAATGCTTAACTCCAAACATGCTGAATTTGTGGACAGAAATCTATTCTGCCAACATTTACCATAGGAAATGCTTCTAGCGCTAAAAGTCCACGGAGCGACAAAACTTAACCTTTGGATGGACATACAGAAAACTGTAATTAAAAAAAAGTGGATAAAATCAGATATGCTGAGCTTTATAAATCATCTAATAATCATTTAAAGAGCACCGATTATTGACTTTGCTATTTGTGGAAATTGTCAATATATTGAAGCATTGCTCGGCACTGCATTGCGGATGCCATCCAACGAATCACAGGCCTTCTGAGCTAAACAAAGAGGGGCTCATGCCAATCCTAATGCCACTGCCAACCAACACTGGCATTCAAGCTATCCTTCCTCTGCATGCCATCTAAAAGGAAAAGCACACACGCACACACGTACTCACTGATTCTGCCACATTGTATGGATTTAAACATTCTGCTTTATAACAAGGTGACATTACATTTTTAAAGAAGAATGTTTAGGTTTATGACTATAAGCCATTAGTCAAAAATTATAATATTAACACAATTTTAAATCACACATACAGACAAGCATTAACCCACACACTAAATATATTTATGTAACAATAAAACCATATACAACCTCACATATATGATATTAGTTTTAACAGCAAAACAATGTAAGTGTGAGTTCTGAAACAGATAACATATCCTTAGGGGGGTTTTTAAATAAGAATAAACCACACATGCTTCTACACTGATCAGGTACGTTGTCCCGCTGGCTTTACATACAAGCATTTTTGTATTTTTCTACTTCAAAACCCAGATGACCCTTTTATGTAACTAATTAGACCTTGCTGATTTCATACACAGTTTGTCTCAGAATGTTTATTTTTTGGTAGCACTGTATAATTCATACTCTCTTAATTATTTTAACTCATTGGATCCTACTCTTGTACGTGTATATCAATATCTTCAGACAACACAAATATCGAGAAGCTGAAAAAGGTAGTTAATTCAAAAAATATTTTTATTCTTGACGATTTATAGCAATGCAACTGAAGTCACTCAATAAAATAAACCAATAAAATAAAATATGAAAACCCAATAAAATAGGAAACCAGAAACTAAAATGTTTCTCCCTGTATCAGCAGTTGCCCTGTGCTGTATGTGGATGTGTTCACTACTGCAAAAAAGCAAACATAAAGTAAGGAGTACAAGCCTTTTTTGACCAATGTCTTCATAAGACAGGCCAACTAAAGGCGATTCAGATATTCAATAAGTGTAAGATCCGGCAATATTCTTCACACAAATGCTACAAGAAATATTCAGTGAAAGAAAATTAAGGGAAGGTAGTAAACTCACTAGGAAGTACTTCCCTGTCATAATAGACTGGGGAAAATGGAGTGCAATTCTAAAATTGTATCAAAATAGTTCCCAGTTCTAACTTTAAGAAAAAGCAAATAGGGCTTCATAAGCTTCTTCATAAGATAGCCCATCATATTTTTGTTGCTTGAACTGTGGCTTGCCATATGTCACTAGGAATATGGCGGAACCTCTGCTGATCGTTTTAGAAAAAACAAATATGGGGGAACTGACTTTTCCTGGTATGTCCCACTGTAAAACTGCCACTGCCTCAGACTTAGATAAGCAGAAGCTCTCAGAGGCATCAACCAATAATTCTGAATGTTAAAGCCCTTTATACCTCCACACATTATGGTTTATATTGCTACAAGCCTGTATATACAATATAAAGTTTGTCTTTCAGACACTAATCATTACAACAGCTCCTATTGACTCACCTAACAGAAAAGAAAGAATATAGTACAACAAATCACAAATTACCACAGCTACTTGCTAGCAAAATAAAGTGAATTAAACCAAGTTTGGGAATCACCCGGGTTATTTGAGGCTCTCCTACTTCACTGCTCTGTGCTCATGTTACAACGTAACAAAGGCTAGAGGGGACTTCAACTTACCAAACTTTGTCCTTTCCACTTCAGTTTTTATATAGCACGAGCACACTGCTAACAAAATACTCAAGTGAATGAAAGCTTCATATTCAGATATTACACTAGAAAATATGTGCAAAGGTTCAACACGTATAATCATTTGTCAAATCATTAAGAAGAATGCTTCAAACAGCTCATTAAGGCACTAATAGGAACATTCATTTAGGTGTGAATAATAACTGTGGGGCATATTGTGTGACTACAGTAAGTGAAAGCTGTCTAGGTTATAAAGGTGTTGTAACACAATCAAGACCAAGTGTCAAAAGCTGAACCATGAAGTTCCACTGGAAAAAAAAAAAACCCCAACATAACAAAACATATAAGAAAAAGAGAACGTGCAGTTCTAATGGAACTTAGCAAAAAGTGCAATTCTAAGTAAAACAAACAATTTAACGGTAAAGAACAAAGCTTCTTAGTTGCTGCGGTGTATAAATAATGTTTAAGTAATTCTATTTTTTGTACTATCCATTCTGAAATAATGTTCGCTCTTAATCAAAGTGGGAATTTCACTTTTGTGAACACTGAATTCCTACAGAATTAAACGCCTAGCCACCTACGAACACATAACTGTAGACATGTTTATTGAATAAAAGATTCTTTATGAAAATAGACTGCTACAAATATTTCTTGCTGTAGCAAACCACATTGCAAACATACAATACGCTACCAACTAGCAAACTTTACTAGTAGAGTAAAAATGTTTAAAAAAAACACACGTATGCACGGTCCATTCCAGGCAGGATAAAGCCCAATGCTAAAATAGGCCAACACTAGTTAATCATATGAGAATGCTGAATTTCATGACATACTGATGAGTAACTGCTTTTCTTGGAGCACTTAGCACAGCGCACTGGACGTATCTCACCTCTCAACGCTAACATACACAGGTACAGTAGTTCAAAACATATATTTGGCACATGCTTAAAAGTTGAAGCTCAGTCTTCGATCTTATTGGCGCTCTATACAGCTATATTTTTAGACACAATCATGCTACTTCTGTAAATAAGAAAAAAAAGGTGTGTGTATGTAATATTTTTGTATTGAAGAAGCTTTTACATAATTACACCTGGCAAGCCAACATGAGTATTGATCCTTACCTGATTCCTGTACATAGTACGCCAAGAACAAATCAAGCTCCTTGACCGATACAGTTATATGATGTGGCTGGACGCAAAGTGCTGGGTTGGTGCAGTGCGGTGATTTGACGAGCCTTTCGCCGTCCGTACTTTCCAGAGGGATGCCTTTAAAAAGGATGACCATTACCAGATCCAGACGCCAGACTTTGTCGGCCTGTCGCAGGCAATCGATCCTCCGGATCTTGCCTTTCTGGTCTGGGTTTGATAGTACACAGCAGGGGTGCTTCTTCCCAGTCACGGCGAGCACAAAATCCTCCCGGTACTCCTGGCGGATGTCTTTGCGTAGCTTGGCTAGCAGCCTGGACGCCCATTTCTGCTTGATTTCTGGCTTCTCGCTCAAAAGCTCATCCTTGACTGCCCTCTCTTCATCTTTCGACATTCGCTTTTCGTGTTTTTTGAAGTACTTGCGCTTACGGGCTTGGAGGTTGAACCATGTATAGGCGATTGCACGGACATGTGGAAGAAGAGCCTCAATGAATGGATGGAACTCATCCTACGGGAAGAGATGTAAATACAGTTAAAGAATGGCAATTGGGTTTTTATGTAATAAAACAAAGGAAAAAAACTGTGAACTGTTGTCTTTTGAATGGACCTAAATATATACTATTGCAAGGTGGACTTAAATATAAATATGTTGATGCGCAAAGTACTAATGCCTTTGAAACAGAATATACTTTAAAAGTGACCCAGCAATGCACCCAACCTAACGTATACATTTTTCTACCCAGCCTGCTCATTTTGCTGACACTATAAAGTACCATTATTGCATTCTTGTAATGTTTTTTCATCCACAAAGAACACTACACAGTTAAAAAAAAAAAAAAGGATGCAGAGATGTTCAGGAGACAGCAGCAGATGCCACAGTTCATTTCTCCTCTTGGTGGCACAGGCAAACAAAGCAGAGCTACAAGCTCTGTGCAGTACCACTCAATTCCCGCTTTCAGAGCATGCTCTCAGCAAGAATCTGCTAATGGTACAAGGAGCATGCGCTATTAAACTTGATCCATTTTCTAATCTGAGCAGACAGGCAATCCTCCACTAAGGCATTACCATTCCAATGGTGTAACAAGCCAAATGGGTCTTATGGAAGCAATAGTGTGGAAACAGCTGATTTTTATAGGTATATCATTCTCGGAATTAGTTACTTGACTACTATATTATTATCTTTCTACAGATACAAAAGAATACCTCAAGAAACAATCAGGGTCTCTGTTGCTAATAACCCAAGCTAATTGGTAAGATAATATCACTTCTTGCTCCTATGGGACAGAATTAAAGTGATGTACTTGTTATGAGTAGAAAAGCTTCCAGTAGGGATAGGAAACCTATTAACACTATTTGACTTCTTGCTAATTTAATGCTAAACTTTGCCCTGAAACTATCAAAGTGCAACCATAGTTTTTTACTGAAACTACACATAGAAAATATAGCTGGTGAAACAGCTCGAGCCATGCGGTACCGTCTACCCTAATTTCTTCAAGTTGCCAACTTCAACTAACACAATGTCTTGCAGAGCTGTCCGATAAGAGGATATGGTGTATAAAGGCAGTACTAGTCTCCCCCATGTTCCAATGCCAGAAGAGCATTAATGCACAAATGAATCTGTGCCTCCCCTTTAGACTGTGCATCCGTTCAAAATCTATCACACGTAGACAATGAAAAACAGCAACTTGGCAAGCAGCTGACATTCACCATGCTTCTGTGTACTGTGACATTAGGAGTGCACCACTGGTCAAACAGGGATTTGTGCAAACGACGCATTTTTTTTCATTTTCAATCTAAAACTCCTGCCATAAAAGCTAAAACCTTAAATGCATTGTGATGTCACTACTGACACCGTGCAATGCCATGAAAGGTAAGAGACTTAGGTAAGAAAAGTCTAAACATGTAGCATTACTGTGCATGAACATAGCTACAGTTTACTACAGTATGGGGCTGAATCACCATAGGTATCATTTTACCCTAGCCCTGTTTTCATTGAAAATGCCCAATCACTTTCGGCCTAGGGTGAAAATGACTGTTGCATTAGATCAGATCCATTGTAAATCTATGTTGCAACTCTATTTAATGTTTATGCTTACTAAAACGAGGGCATTGTGTTGAAATATTCCATCAGCTTCTCCTATAAATGCCCAACAGATACAGAAGTATTACTAACGAGTAAGCAAAGAAGCAAATGTTTCATCAATGGCTTAAAGGGTGTTTCTTTCATAGTCACCTCTCCCCAAAAAGCAAACATACTTGCCATTGTTCAAATTAAGACTCTGTTGTGAAAGTATGAAGCTGAATTAAAAATCCTAAATGTTTACCTCTCATTTCACTAACTGCAAAAGTACAGCATATGAGTATTCATGCCAAAAGGTTATCCGTAGTGAATCACCACATGACAAAACAACGGCTTTTGAAACTTTACAAAGATTAGCCGTCACATAATCAATTCATTTCCTAATACTGTGACTGATATTAGAAGACAAACAGAATAGCAACTGTACTTTTTTAGAACGAATACATGAATGAATGAATATACATAAGCAATATACACATCACAAGTACACGACACCAGATATCAAAGGAATGTGGAGGAAATCATGTGACTGATCAATATTTTTACATATAATCAAACCACTCTATCTCTGTTGTACTCAGGAGTAGGCCAGAGAAGGAGTTAAAATACAATCTGTTCTTTGTGTGGGAATGGAATAGTGTTCCAAGTAACCAACAGCTCTACCTCCTTAGTCAACCTTTACCGTCCCAATTTAACAGCTGAAACACTTACACCAACATCCATTTAAAGCTATGAAAGGTGATTCAGCTACAGGTATGGTATTTTGCAATTGCACACAAATCAACTTGCTGTTTCTATACTTACCTGGTTGTGCTCAATAAAAGTTGAGAAGGCAAATGTATTCTGCACTGTAAAGTTTAGAAAGCTCAAAAAAAGGACCCTACCTTGTACATTATTAGCGGATTCCTTCGACATATGAATCCTTTTCAGAAGTACTGTTTGCCAAGGAAATGGATCTGGTAAAACTTATCTAATATGGAGAACTAATATAAAGGTTTATAGGCCCTTCTGCCTAACTGGCTGATGGTATACGTCAGTGACCATACTTCCAATTACTTACTACGACTCCAAGTGTCGGCGTATTCAGAAAAACTTATTTTTGTTGTTCTAAGTTGAGAGTTGAATTACTGTTATAGCGCAGGTACAGATTTTCTAGCTTTTCCTTAATTAAAAATATTATATTGCTTTAAAATTCATATCGGATTTGTAAACCTATACCAAATATGATTTTAGGCACAAGTGTTTACAAATACACTCAATGAAAATTAGTGAGTGTACAAGGCTACAAAAGAAACATTAAAAACTAGCCTACGTTTCAAAAGGTCATAGTCAAGTTTAACATTCAAAAGGAGTACTAGGATTACTACACAAAACACTATAAAATTCTGGAAGCAAAATTATTATTTGGATTAAACTTGAATTCTCTATTTAGCCTAGTGAACTTAAATATTCAATAATGGGTTAGGCCATAAAAAAAGTAAAACATGATTGCCAATTTGGCCATAAACTATATTTTTGCAGGAAAAATGGATCAAACGCATAATATATCTAAATGATATAAAAATACAAGACCTGACAGAAACTTCAAAACCATACATCACACCTTGTCATATACTCATAACTTGGCAATTATGCATACATCTTTATAGGTTGATGTGATGTTGCACTTGTTAAGTAAAGAAAAAAAATAAAATTGAATTTTCATAAAATTAGTGCAAACTATTGGATTCATTATATATATAT